CACATGTATAAAAATCAGGGCAGAACAAATGTACATTTATTCATATATATATATATATATATATTACATATATAAGCAGACATTGAAGTCAACACCCAGAAACAGCATCCAGATCCACAATTATTTCCACTCAATAGTCCCAAAAATAATCTGAAACATAACAGTTACCACCCATTAAATATATATATATATATATATATATATATATAAATAATCGATTCTCCCGTCGCGTTCGACGATGAGGGTCAGGCCGATAAGTCCCCAGGAAACCGACATCCCGACACGGCACATGAGATTTGTTTATAGTGGTGAAGGCCTTGTGCAGGACCAGCCACACTTTTTGGAGGACGAATACAGAAACCTGGTGCACAATGCATGCCACAAGGTTCCCAAACAACCCTCCACAGGTTTTGAATTCAGAGTTGTCCTTCTCCTAGACCAGTTGCCATCCAAGGCTATAGAACCCAGTCTGTCCTGCTATTTTACCCATAGCTGGAGGGAGATGAAGAGGATACATACCTTTCCCAAGGGTATTAGCACGTAAGTGAATGCAGTGGATTCGACTGGAATTCGAACTCGGCTCTGCGATTCCTCAATCCAAGCCGCTAACCACTGCTCCACCGTGCCTCCTTATATATATAATATTAAAATAGATGATACTGAAATATCTCTGCCTTTCAGGAATTTAAGGGACAAGATACTCAATTCTATATATAAAATTGGATATGATGTCTCTTAAAGCAACTAAATATTGTAAAACGCTCATATAATAAACTGGGAATCAACAGGAAACTAAGTCACAGAAGGACAGAAATATTTGTGTATTGTTTTTTTATACTTCTTATATTGGCTGTTTAAATATTCTTTTATATTGAGCACTCTTCTTATAGTGTCCTTATTTGTTTTATTATAATATAAAAAGTGGATACTGGGATCAACACTGAACGACGACAGTCTTTTTTATACTTGAATGCAATCTTGGTCTGAAGATTACATCCAAGCATGAAATAGACCGTCAACACTTTTATATTTATATATGCTCTATCCCTGATATTGTGCACTTTTACCTATAGCACACCTTAAAATTATATATATATATATATAAAATTATATTTTTATTATAAGAGATTATAGTAAAAACATTTTGAAATTGCTACACAAAAGCTTTCATGTTTCAATACCATGATTGTACTTCTTCGGGCAATGATAAGTAAGTAGTGATTAAAATGATTTTTAAGGAAATTTAAAAACAAAATGTTACCACTTTTCCGAAAGGGGTGGGCATAAGGTCAGAATTAAATAGGTATGTCCTGATTAAATGTCAGATCTACGCTAAATAGAAAAGTAAGCTCAGAGGGTGGAGGTGGGGGAGTTATTTTTTGTCACTATAAACCGAAACATAGAAAGGCCTTCATTGATGATTGTGGAAAATAAACAACAAACCTTTTGAAAATGGCTAAAGAAGTGTTTGAAAGCACTTGGAACAATAGGTAATTAATAGAACAATTTAAGAATACTAGAAAAAAATGAATTAAATTTTCCTTGTCTGCCATATTCAACAAAACATGTTTGAAAGTAATGTTGCTGCCCATATATATATATCTTTCATTACTTAAACATTATTTTTGAAGGATACTTGTATTTCAGTAGATGCTTTATTTGTGCATTAAACAGTATGTTTGTTTATATTTTTCTACCAGCCTGAATATTCAAGAAATCTTAGAGAAAAATATGCATTCTCTGGCTCGATTTGAACCTGTTTTTCCTCCAGAGGAAACCATTATTAGATCAGACATGCTTTGAACCACTTGGTCATATCAATGGTCAAGCAAAGTTAAATAGTGCCTTTAAACACAGGTTTATTTAAAAAGTAAGAGAAAAATCTATCTGCTCAGTTTCATATCTTAATGTAAACAAAGCAATTTCTAAAGAAGTGATGGATTTTTATTTAGTAAGCCGACAGGTTTTATTACTTAAACCTTATTTTTATTGGATACTCATATTTCAGAAGATGTCCCATTTATTTATTAAACTGTATTTATTTATTTTCTCTACTTGCCTGAATATTAAAGAAATCTTACTTTATTTTTGAGGTATTGAAATTATTTACATTGTTCAGACTGTTGTGTACAAAAAGTCAGCATCAGGCTATCTATTGGTCTTTATTGTCTCAGTTATCTCCCTTTTTGTTCAGCACTACAATAGTCAAGCATTCAACTCACAACTCTTTGGGTCAAATCACTGGATCCAGCCAACACTTTTATCCACTGGGCCATGTCGTCCTTCAGCACATCAATTTGTGAATTTTTGGGACCTAATATCTCAGTAACTATTTTTTACCTGTGCTCATACTGCAATGCTTCTTTATATTTCATACCACAGCTGCACAGTATGGCATACACAATATTTCAGATGTGGGGGGGGTCTTACACAGAAGAGATATTTCCAAAGTCTTGAACCACTTTTGAAGGTCGTCCTAATATTATAAACCTAATGTAATTTTGGTTCATATAAGTCCCAAAAATACATACACTGATGTCCTCAAGGACAAATGGCCTAGTGAATAAAAGTGTTGGTTGGATCTATCTAGTGACTACCCGAAGAGTTTTGAGTCCAATAACTGCTACTGAACAAAAACTTGGAGAGTTGAGTTAAAGGGAGATAATGGAGACATCCGGAAGAGGCATGCCATGTGGAACTGGAGCGGAGACATCCTTGCCCAAGAAAGAATATAGTACAACTGTTGGATAAAACAGAAACTGGAATCTGATATCTCTCAGAGACCAGAGACCTTCTACAAGACCACCAAAAGAGGATCCAGCATGACCTGGATAAATTCTTCAGATTCAATGCAGTCAAGGGCCACCAAGAACAAAAATAAAACAGATTGAAAGATCAAAAGGTGACAAGGTTCTTCACCCACCAGTGAAGACAGCTGAGTGCCTCTGAGGAGTCAGTACTAAACAAAGTACTTTGCCACAACCATCAGATCTAAGAATGAAAACTGTCGCAGATCCTACTCTTCCCACCTAAGACCTACATACAGGCAGTTATCACAATGTTACACCAAGCCACCTCACATATATGGTATTCCACTCAGGTTAATTGTTAGCTGCCAAGGCTCTGTGTGCCACCCTCTGAGTCACTTCTTTGTAGATATAATTGACCCTTTAATAGGAAAGTCACCTTTATATGTCCAAAACTCCACTTTGTGGAAATAATCAAAAATAATCTATGGAGAAGGCACTATCAGTAATCAGGGACAGACTGGCTTCGGACTCCTCCCTAGGAGAATGGACCAGTATACCAATAGATAACCTGATGGAGATGCTGACTTTCTGTACACAAACAACATACTTTAGAATCAGATTGGGCATATATCGACAGCTTAGCAATGGGCTCACAATTGCTGGTGATAATGGTGATCCCATTGCCAAGCTGTTAATATATGTCTGATCCCATTTGAATACTTCAAAGAAATGACATTAAAATCAACATCACTAAAGCCAGCCCTATGGCCGAGATACATAGATGACACCTTCATACTCTAGCCACACCAAGTAGAGGTCCAGCTACTACTGGACCATGTGAACTCAATAAGATCATTGATACAGTTCACAATGGAAAGAGAAAACAACAAACTCACATTCCTGGATGTACTAATATCTTGAACAGAGAAGTTCAAGACATCTGTATACCACAAGCCAACATTCACTGGACAATACCTCAACTTCAACTCCCACCACCCATACAGTATAAAGAAAGGGAATGTCCACTGCTTATATTGAGCAAAAGTCATAAGTGGTGACCCAGAGACATATGAACAAGAAATGGTCAGTATAAGCAGTATCCTACAATGTAACAACATATATGGCAGCAACTCTGACAAACTGGGATAGAAGAGTACAAGAAGACTGTGCGCATGTGATCCCATGCAGCTGTGGTAAGAAATATAAAGGAGAAACAGGCCCCCCCAACTCTTAAGGTAAAACTGTAAAGCCATAACACCAGGGGAAATAGGAAAATCAGACATAGCTGCCTACATATGGAGGGAAAAGAGAAATCACCACCCCCTTTGGGGTGAGGTTGAAATTATAGAGAACATTACTGGAAGATATTAATACTTAAGGAATCAGCACATATGCTAGGCTACAAAAATCTAACCTGGCCAACCACAGAAATGCAAATGGAAATCAGTAATATGGGGTGCTAGAGAAAAGCAATAATAACAACAAAATTGCAATATGAACTCAGGTAAAAAAAACAATGGTTACTGAGATATTAGGTTTATAAGTCCCAAAGATTTATAGACTCAAAGACATATGGCCCAGTGGATGAAAGCATTGGTTGGATCCAGTGACTTGACCCAAAGAGTTGTGAGTTCCATACCTGCCTACTGTAATGGTGAACTTGGAAAGTTGAATTAAAGGGAGATAGCTGAGACATTTGGAAGAGGCATGGCATGTGGAACTAGAACAATCTACCCTGGTGAATGAAATAAAGGATTCAGTTCAAAATTCCAATCACCTGAAAAAAGTCAGAGTGTAAAACAACTGAAACATTGAAGTAATAAAATCTGTCTGATTAATAAAAAAAAAAATAAAAAATCCATCCCCTTTCTTATATATATATATATATATATATATAGACAGAGAGAGAGACAGAGACAGAGAGAGACAAAGAAAGAAAAAGACAGAGGGAAGGAGGAGAAAATAAAAGAGAGAGAGGGAGAGAGAAAGGGAAAAGACAGAGAGAAAGAGAATCTTTTTCATCTTTTAAGTTTCTTCTATAAAAAAAAAAAAAAGCAATATCTGTAAAAGAATCAATTTCCGAGTTCCTTTTGTTCATCAAAAAAAAAAAAATTTCAGATCCAGCAACTTGCTTACACGCACTGAGTTTGATTTAGATAACCCTAGCTACCTACAAACAAACAGATATCACTACAATTGCCCATATACAAATATTAAAAGCAAAATTAGAAAAAAATAATTTCTACTTACATCAGAAAAATATGTTTCTGCATTCTGTTTGGGCTTCAATTGTTTTCCAGTCAGATCTTCAGTCATACAAACACACTGCAACGCCATTTCTTCCCCTCTTATATTCTCCATTGTACCTTTCATTGTAATTTTCTCTTGTGCAGGTATCTGTGCATCGTTGGGTTTAAGTTTCAATTGTACATTTTTAGGGGGTGAAACGTCTTCGAGTTTTTTATTGCCAATTCTTTGTAACTTTTCGGCCTCTTTTTGCATTTGGACTTTGGGATCCTCGGACTTTATCGTCTTAATTATTTGCAGCCGATTACCAGGCACCACGTCCCTGTTCCTTGGAATCTCGTATTTTTTTATAATACCCTCCGACCCCATTCTTTTGGGAATGGCATTTGTATTGTTGGATCGAAGGTTCTGGGTCTCTTTTTGCTTGGCAGTGGCACCAACGCTTGTTTTTATATGCTCGGAATTCCTCTCTGGAATTTTACTCCCTGTTGGACTGGTAAGCGGTTTCACTTTGTTGTCTTTTTTGACAGCACTTTTCTCTTTAGGCCGGATTACTGGGTGATTGTTTAAGGATGCTTTTTCAGAGTTGTTTTTTAACTCTTTGGAAGGATTTTTCTTAATTTCTGGATCATGGTTCACTCTCTTGGGAGTGGTCTTTATTTCTGGTTTGTCTTTCTTGAAGTCTTGCAAGGTTTGTTTCTCTTCTTTCCCCGGACTGCCAGTTTTGGCAGATAAGTTATTTCTAGCTTCTTTTCCTGGTGTATTGCTTTTAACATCTTTTTCATTCTTGTTTTCTTCACTTGGACTATTCATCGCTTGTAGATCATCCGTTACATCTGGATTCTCTTTCTCTGTTGGATTAGTGCTAACGTTTGATTCATCTTTTATTTCTGGGATTTTGTTTTCTACTTTACCTAGTTCTTCACCCAGGATCGATTTAATCTCTTCTCCTGGGGTAAACGTTAGCGTGTCTGCAAAGTTATTCTCTGCTCCGATCTCTGAATTATTCTCTGGTTCATTTTCTGGTGACACTGCCGACGTCAGTTCAAGTCTTGGCAGAAGCCTTTCTTGATCCACAGGTATCTCAAACAGGTTGAGCTGGCTTTTAATCCTGCTTGACTGCTCTGGATCAATATCCGTAAAAAGTTCTAGGTCTGTCGAAGGGTCCCTGTCTTGTTCAGACAAAGAATGGATGCTGTCCAAACCCATATAGGCATCACTCTGTGAAAACTTTTCAATCTGGACTTCATATTTACCGTCAGTTGGCTCGCACATGCACAGAATCTCTTCCCCACCGGAAGCATCAAGTGAATGTTCTTTGTTGAATTTTGTTTGCCGTTTGAAAGACGAGCCTTTACTCCTACGCAACTCCTCACGGCTGTCGTACATTTTTATCTTTTCTGTGGAGCCCCTGTAGTCATTGGCACTGTAGTCGCTGCGGATGCTGTTTCGATCCAAACTGATTGTGCTACTTTGGCTGAAGATGCTGTTGTGACTCATCCGAGCGTTTTGCCAGGAAGTTTCTGTTTTGTTGGCCAGATCCAGGTTTCGTGTGTCCGTCTGGGTCGCAACATCATGCATCAAAACCTTGACCCGATTTCTTGGAACAATGATGATTTCCTCATCTGATTGATCATACAGCAGTGGACGGGTCAACCGTTCTGTTGAACCTTACAAAGGAAGAAAGAATAAACAATTGAGAGATAATTATTCAGACAGAAATCGATGACTCAACTTTTTTGTTGAACCTGGTTCAAGAAAAAAAAAACAAACAATTGGGGGATAATTGTTTGTTCAACAAACCAAAGATGAGCTAAAATCCTAAGTTACTTATAAAAGAAACCATATCATGAGAAAATTGGTAACCTAAATAATAGCAATACTAATAATTCTAAATACCAACACTAAAATAGATGAATAATTCAATAATCAGTAGATTAGGTTGAATTATAATTCCACTTTTGGGGATTAATTGTAACAATGAATGCATCATCCTAACTACTAATCATATGTGGCAGTGAAATGGAGTTAACTAATATATAATAGATAGATGGGTGTAAACAGACTAAGATAGATAGCATCTGTCTGTATTTATGAGATATTATGTACATTATTCGGACTATTGTCTTCATCCTCTTTGGCATATTTATTACATTTCAAATGTTTTTGGAATGTTGAACTGAACCCTTTTATTTCGCTCACTGAGATAGACTGTTCTAGTTCCACGTTTAATGGATATCAGTTATCTCCTGTTAATTCCCCTCTGAAAGTTCTCCACTGCTTTAACCGGGTATTGAACCCATATTCTTTGGGTCCTGTCACTGGATCTAACTAACAACTTTATCCACTGTGCCATGTGTCCTAGAGGACAACTGTGTATGAATTTCTGGGTATTATATACCTAATGTCTTCAGCACCATTTTATTACCAGAGCTCATATTGCAATTTTTCTCTGGCACTCCTTATTACTGGTTCCCATTTTGTATTCATTTCTATGCTTGGTCGGCTCCTGAGATTTTTGTGTCCTAGCATATGTGCTGATTCTTTAAGTTTATGAATTTTCCAATGATGTTCTTTGTCTATAATCTCAACCTGATCCAACAGAGGGCGGTGATCTCCCTTCTCTCTCCATATGTGGTTCTGGTGTTCTTGAAGCCTTTAAGGGGGTAGCCTGTTTCCCTTTTATATTTCTTTCTGCAGCTGCATGGGATAGTGTACACACAGTCTTTAGTCATGTTCTCCTCTATGGGTGGGGGTCTTACTTGGGAGAGATATCTGTGAAGCATCATCAAGCTTTTGAAGATTGTCCTGATGTTAAATGGACCGCAGATCCTTTATATTTTCTCTGATAACCCCTTCACATAAGGCAGGTAAATTGTTTTCCGAGTGTTATTGTCCTCTTGTACCCACCTCTCCCAGTTTTTTTTGGCTGCTGCCATGTACCCAGGGTAGTTGTTACCTTGTAGAGTACTACTTATACTGACCAATTCAAAAGGGTTCAGTTCGACATTCCAAAAACGTTTGAAACTGACATCCATTAAACATGGAACTAGAACAGTCTACCCCAGTGAGCGAAATAAAGGGTTCAGTTCGCCATTCCAACCACCTGAAGACGGACGGAGCGTACAACATTTTATGAAACGTTGTAATGAATATGGCGACAAAGATGAGGACGATGGATAGATAAGGTTGAGTCATAAATAATTTCCAACTGCAATGAATGTATCATCCCAACTAGTAATCCTATGTGGCAGTTAAATGGAGTACACTAACATATAATAGAGAGTGAGATAGGTATGAACAAACTGAGATAGATAGATACACCAGGTTGAGTCATCATAAGTAATTTCCTTTTTTGGAAACCAATTGCATGATAGATATGAACACACATAAATATAAACATATATAGATAGGAACAGACTGAGATATGTACAGAGAGAGAAATTGGTAAGAACAGACTGAGATAGATAGATATAAACTTTCTTAGGTATATATTATCATACAGTAAGATCAATTGACATTGTTTCCTTGGGCTTATGAGTAACAATATAGTGAAAGAAAACTACCTGGAAAAAAAATAGAGTCAAGATTTTTTTTATGTACTAAGAAGTTTACTTAGACAGCCGGATCAACAACCAATCATAAAATGCATGATTTCATGTGTGACAACCTTATATATATATATATATATATATATGATAAATTGATCTATTTATATGATAGATTATCAATTATAAAATATATTAGTTTTGCTTTCCACACTAAAGATTCAGCTGAGGCAAATGTTTACATAAGGGTTTCCCTGAGGTCTCAATTACTGTTTTCTAGCACTATATTTGGTCTGGCAAGGATCATGGTTCCAGTGTTTTCTTTGCTTGTTCTCTTTTCAATCCATATGAATCTAAATTGATTTTCTGATTTGCAGTCCTGATATGCTACATGATATCTGTTCTTCTGTATGGCAGTAAATGCTGGACAATCTCCTCACAGATGAAGAAGAGATTTGAAGCAGCAGAATAAAGAAAAGAGTACTGAACAGTTACATAATATCATTCATCCTATATGGCAGTAAATGCTGGTCAATCTCCTCACAGATAAAGAAGATACTTGAAGCAACAGAAATGTGGTTCTACAGAAGGATACTGAGGATACCATGGACTGAACATGAGAGCAACGACCAGGTTTCGGAGAATATGGAAATGAAGAGGAAACTTAACATCAGGAAGAGGCAGTTGAAATTTCTGAGGTATGTAAAAAAGAAAGAACAGGGGAAAGCCATGCGTGACATGCTTAATGGGATTGAGCAAGTGGACAGCAGAATAAGGTTTTGGAGAAATAACAAAAAGAGTAAACTTATTAAAACCTTCAAGGTGCAGGAAGGATTGTCTACATCCTGAAGAATCTCAGCACATAAAAGAAAAAAAGGGAACGACCAATACCAATCAATTATTATCCAAACTTTAAACTGAAATTACAAAATCGTTTTCAAATATTTGTGTCTAGGGCATCATTACTTATCCTTCCAATAAGATTTCAGGGTTACTGCATTAAAAAGGTACAACCTATACTTTTCATATTAACCTCAGTTTTTTTCTTACCTTAAATAGCAAGAGAGAGAGAGTAACACACTTACCTGGAGAGGAGTTGCATTGAGGGTTGCTATAAGCATGATTTAAGATGGCCCGTTGTCGCATATCCATTTGTTTGCGGTTGCGAGCTATTTTCGGAGACAGGGATATTAAACTGGTTGTTTCTGACAGACTTGGAACTCGTATTCTGGATGTAGTAAATTCGACATGGTCTGCATAAAGAAAAAATTGCCTTTAGATTCTTATTAATGGCAGAATTTGTGAAATTCTACAAATACTGACAGCTAAAACAATCCATTGCTTGGGCTCTTCTCTAACACTTTTCCTGTATCTTCTCATTCTCTCCCTTATCCCTTCCAATACAACTAAGATTAGGAGGCACAGTGGAGTAATGGATAGCGGCTTGGATTGAGGAATCAGAGAGCTGAGTTCAAATTTCAGTTGAATCCATTACATTCAGTTACATGTGAATACCCTTGGGAAAGGTATGAATCCTCTTCTTCTCTCCCTAGCTATGGGAAAATAGCATGACAGACCAGGTTATGAAGCCTTGGATGGCAACTGGTCTACTGCAGAAAGAAATGGCAACATACTGCTGGAAAAAAACTGCCTTTTCAGTCATATATCAAAAGATAAATGATCGCCTACGTGTGTATCACGCATGGCATATAACTGACTGACTGACAACTAATATTATCCATTATCTCATACCTCTGCTCTTCTCTCACCCTTTGCCTGTATCTTCTCATTCTCTCCCTTATCCCATCCAATAAACTAATATTATCCATTATCTCATGCCTCTGCTCTTCTCTAACCCTTTGCCTGTATCTTCTATTGTTTGGGATTAATTTATGTTTTATATTTTGAATAACATAAGGTTATGAGTTTAACCATTTTCTTTTAATATTTTTAACATTTTTATAGTCATGTGTATTGGCTTGAGAATGGAGTAATTCTTTTAGGAATGGCGATATTGGAAAATTCAAGAGCACAGATTTATATTTTGATAAGATTCAATAATGACACTTGAGAATTTTCCTTCTAAATAAAATAATTTCTCTACTAATAAATGTGGCATTCTTTGGATCAAAGTTGTAGTTGAATTTATTTCTATGTATAAATAATGCATTTGATAAATTGTTGTGTATAAGATCCCTTTTGTGTTCATAGATGTCTTTTTTTTTAATTTCTGCAAGTTTCCCTGATGTATTATGAAGAGCAGTTCTGGCAATTTATTTTATATGCCAACAGCAGGCCAGTTCAGTTTTGTAAAAAAGTATAAATACTGTCGATCACAGTTGTTGCAAAAAAATCACAAATTCAAACAAAAAGGCATTTTTTTCCATTTGTAAACAGAAACGTTTTTATAAATTCTTACCTGACACCGAGGTTATTGGTAACTTCTCAACACCAAAACCAGCAAAAGAACCAGAGCAAGTGAAGACAGTCGGAACGTATTCAACATGTTCCCAGTGTTTTTCTAGTGCAGGTCCCCAGTCAGGTTCTGGTTCACAGAGATACCGTAATCGCTAAAAGAAAAGAAAAAATCCTCGTCAGATCTAAACTCTCGTATTGCTTGGGAATACCAAGTGCGGCAAGTTCAGATGTGCAGGTGGTCTAATGGATAAAGATTTGGAATTGGCAATCAGAAAGCTGAGTTCCAATTCCAGTCAGGTTCATTATATTCACTTATATGCAAATACCCTTTGGAAATATATGGGTTAATTAGTAGGACGTATCAGTAAATCATCATTATCTAAGACAACTTCTCATAATTTAAAAATTATTTTCTGGTTTTAAATAACCTGCAAAAAGTTGATATGGGGTTTGTTGTTAATTTCTTTTCATTGTTGTTTTTTAAGATGTAAAAATATCTCAATGTGAGAGAAGGCCTCGACATAAAACATCTGGCACCCAAAATTAATCTCACTTTATTTAACAATGGGAATAATGTGCTAAAGGTTTTTGAAAAATAGGACACCAACTTGAATTCAAAATTACTATAGGCATCACACAACTGCATCTTAAGAGACAACCATGAAAAGAAATTAATGACAAACTCCTTTGAAAAGGACTAAAAAAGTGGCAGAAAGTCCTTAGAACAATAGACACTATAGTTTTTACACTCCCTTACCCCCACCAAATGGTAAACATTTAAAAATAATAGAAAATATCAATAAAAAAAATATTGTCTAATTTTCCTTGTCCATCATATTCCATGAACAATATTTAAAAGAAATGTTGCTGCCCAAATATACATTTTATTTGCCATACTTTCTGGCTTATTTTTTAGGGAAAAAGTGCATGTCTTCCAAGACAAATGTAAGACAATGCCCAGACTCAAGTAAGCTTGGACGGTCACCTAATTGGTTTGATTGATAAGGAATGGATTTGTATGTTGAGTTGTTACACTAATAATGTTAGCTATCTAATTCAACCTTTTATATGATGTAACCTCAGTACTTAGATGTTACAAGTAAAGGGTGTTCTAATAACTTGGACCGATTTTAAATGTGAATGAAGTTTAAGCGTCTTATGATTTTTTTCTTTTTCTTTCAGACTTAACCACTTAAGTCTTTGGCAATTTCAACCATGGAAACATTAACAATCAAACAACGTGTTAAAGTTATCGAAGCCTATTATGAAAATGGACGTTCAAACAGAAATGCAGTGAAAAGTTCCCAAGTTGTATCATCTCTTGAAATAGTGAAATCAATTAGCCACTATGATCGTGCGACTTGGCACCTTTAGATTTCTTCCTTTGGGGTCATCTCAAAAGTAAGGTCAATGCCAACAAGCCAACAACAATTCAACAGCTGAAGGATGAGATGATAAGGCATGTTGGTGATATTGAGGAGCAACTATGCAGAGACGTCATCAAAAATTTTGTCCATCGACCGGAGGTGTGCTGACGAAGCCTTGGCGGACATTTGGGCAATATTACTTTTCACACATATTTACCATGACTTAAATAACATGATCCAATAGAGAAATAAATAAATTTTCACCAATAACACTGATTTATTTATTGCTGACTTTGATCTGTCTTAATGAAATACCCTTTATTTCCAAGACTATAAACCTTCCTGGAGCCAAGCCACAAGCTTAAACATGCTCTGTTTACTAGCAGTTGTGGGAGCTTTTCTGCTCTTGACTAGTATGTCATTGTCATACAAACAAAATTGGATGAGTGATTAATATAAACAATACGTGGCACCAGTATGTGAGGGACACATGGTGAATGTGTTGTATGAGAATTACTTTTTTTTTTTTCTTAGAAATTTGTTTACAATATTAGGGTGCATCTTATAAACCAGAAAATACTGTATATCCTTACCTCTCTGAGGGTTCCTTCAGCCATGCAAAGCTTGATTATCATACAAAGTGGGATAGACACAACAGGTATTGTCATAAGAAGGAATGCAGTGATATCCGACCAAAATGGATATGAAGATGAGGTGAATTTTTCTGCCAATGGCTTGTAGTCCACCACAGAGAAGATCAATACAAACTGTAAAAATGAAAAGAAACCACATTTGAAATTAAATTGATTCAACTGGAAGATGAATATGTTTGTGGAAAGTTGAAAATTTGGCCTTGTAAAAATATTCAACTTATCTGCAAAAAAAAAAAAAAAAAATAAAAAAATAAAATAAATGTGAAAAGAAAGCTGATACAGAGTAAGTAAACCCAAAAATTGTTTGAGGTGTTTTACAAAAATGGTTTCTTTTTTTTTTTTTTTTATGAAGACATGAAATAGACTAGACACAGGAATATATCTTAATGACTGACTCGGACTGTTACATCTAGCTGCTACTCAGACTTTCACTGACTGTTACTTGTACTAACTGACTACTTGATATGTTGTCCTTTTATTTGTAATTCCCATGTAGATGTCATAGTAGACACAAAATACATGTGAATATTTGAAAGAAAAATGCTTGCAATTCTAAAATGTGTTACTTGGAGTGCATAAAATTTTTAAAAACTTAACTACCATATTTGATGACATATAAGACGCATGGGTTTATAAGACACACCCCAATTTCAGCAGGGGAAAAATCAAGAAAAATTAGTAATTAGTAAAATTATTACTAAATGGTACAGCCTAGGTTATATTTATGAGGTATCATTTTGGTTAAACAAGCTATGATTACAATTAAACAAAAAATAATAGGAAAAAAAAAAAGAACACAAGCCTATAAAAACTTTATTAGATCCAAAGGTAAGAAAACCAAATAAAAATTGAGCAAAACAGTACAGTTACCATTTAAATTTTATTTATCTTTAAATCCATAAAATTTGTCATCTTCGTTATCAAAACTCTGATATTCATTTTCAATACTACTATCATCATCATTAAATAAATAATGTTTCATCTTCCGTTCCATTGAGAGCATTGCTAATGCCACAGTTTTTAAAAGATTTCACAACAATTTTTGGTATAACATTATCCCAAGCTTGCTTCATCCATTCAGAGACTTGTGCAATGATGGGTCTTTTTATTCTTCCTGTAAATGTCAGGTCGTAATCAGGCATTGGCATCCATGTGTTCCTTTGCTCCTTTATGTTTAAGTTAATAGGAATTGCCAGGTAGCTAATTTCAGTTGACTATTGTGAATTTTAAACCTACATATGGTAAATAAGATACAAGTGAATTTTAAAAGATATTTTTATTAAAAAAAAAAGTGTGCCTTATATGCCATCAAATATGGTATATATTCTTAATAATTTAATAACTATACAGGCTTAAAAACAGAAACTTTCCAGATAATGATGTGATATATGTTTGTAATTTTTGTCTTTCTCTGTAAATTATGGGTTAATTAAATTTTATGTTGGTAGTCACTCAGTTCAGATATCATGTTTGATAATTTCAATAAAGAGATGCTTTTATTTTGAATGAAAGTGATTACAGAATATGTTCTATGTTCATTGTCTCTTAGTGGTTTTATTGCCTTGCTTGGGGTGAAATGATGATTAAAAAAAAAAAAAAGCAGACAGTTGAAAAACTGTAGAACTAGTGTTGAAGAGAAAAGACATAACCCGTCTTTGAGTAAAGATTGTTTTGCATATTCTTAAGCTTCTGCAGCAGAGAGTGTTGCTTCTTATGCTATCTCTAAGACTGCACAGTTCAAACAGTTCTTTGTGTCGCACCTGTTAGAACTTCAAGGAAAATTTGATGGCAAAGTTTAACCTATGTAACCACACCAAAAAAAAAAAAAGCAGTGTGTCAAAAGGAAGGATTTTTTTTTTTTATTATGTTGCTATTTCTGTATACTTTCTTGGCTTCTTCAGTAATATTTATTTTTATTGTATTGGGAATATAGTCATTAAATTGTTTATTCATAACATTAATTTTATATTTACAAGATTATAAAAATATGTGAATATTCGTATTGATTGGCAATTAACCAATATTTTTCAAATTTCTGATGAATTTCCTGCTATGGTACCTAAATGTTATGAATTTAAACAGAGTACTAGACTGGCAACAAGGTCTCATCGGTATACAATTGAATTGGCTAGATGTAACTGTAAGTTCTATGCTAACAGTTTCTTCTCTTGCACTTCTCGCTTGTGGAATTCTCTTCTGTGTTCTTGCTTCCCAGTCAACTTTGAGCTTCAAAAATTCAAATATAATGTCAATCGTTATCAACTGTCTTCCTGATTAACTCTTCTATTGTTCTCACTCTTTCATAAAGTTCCTCTTTTTTCTAATTCTTTCACATACAGATTTTCTCTTTGGTAATGAGATCTTATGATTTTAGGTACATTCTTTTTTCAGTGTGTAATATTTTTGTTGTTATTATAATGATAAACATTGTCAAGGGAGTCAAGCTTGTAGCAGAGAAAAAAAAACGTCATTTTGACACACTGTCTTTTGGGTGTACATAAGTTAAACATTACCCAATATTGCATGTAAATATTTTAATACATCTATGTGCTGGGTCCAGACTTTAGAGATCATGGCTCTCTACAACTTCCTGTCTTTTGTAGTCATTAATAAAGTTAGTACTTTTGCTATATATCCTATACCCTGTTATGCCAACCATGTTCGCCAAGTAGGTTATATGTTGTTTTCCTCTATTCCTCTTGCCTTAAATATGTCTTGTGGATATCAAATTTTCCAAGCACTCTTTCCTCATTTTGTGCCCTAGAAATTTCAGCTCTCTCTTTTAGATTCTATGTACGAGTGTCCTTTTTGTTTCCATTTTCTCTAAAACTTCATTGTTGCTCACATGTTCAGTCCATGGTATTCTCATCATCCTTCTGTAGAACCACATTTCTATTGCTTCAATCCTCTTCCCCATCTATGATGAGACTGACAAGCATTCATTGATATATTTTGAGAAGTGGTATAAGGTGAGAACTTTTCAGCAACCCTCATAGATGTATTCTGTGTGATACCAAAGTCTTCTGCCAAGTTCTATAAAGAATGCTGACATGTTCTAACAGATGTTGAGATATCCCAGCTGTCATAAGGAATTTTTACGTTTGATCTAAATATGCCAAAACCAATAATCCATTGGGAAGACTTGTTTCCCAAAGCAAGGTTTTCAAAATGAATTATTGAAGTGAGCTGTTCCATTCCAGAGTGTTCTTGGTCTCTAAATACTTAAAAAAAAGACATTCTAAAAGTGTATATATATATATAAATAAAAATATATAAAACAAAGTGGGGGAATGAGGCGAATAAAGAAAACAGCAACCAGCGAGTAAATTCAAGCTCTCTCAACTGGTATTTCAACCTTGAGTCATTCCTTCTTGAGTTCTGTCTCAAAATCACACTAACAGACTTCTTGCCGCCAACCGTGAACGTCACTAGAAGAACTGCCCCACTGGGAAAAAAGTAGTTGCTTTTATATTTGTCCATATACCCATAATCCCTTGCGTCTTCATGTGATCCCATAATTCATTGCATCCATGTCCATAATGCATTTAAGATCTTTATTGCATAAAAAAAAATGCAAGTCCCCCTCATTCTTTTTACGTTATCTGGCCGAGGACTGATTCACGGCAATGAAAAAAATAAATTTTTCTCCCTTATTTCAACTGCGGTAGCTTTACATGCTAAAAGAAATACGGGCTCTTTTTTGGCGGGGACAAGGCAAGTCGCGACCAGTTGTGCTTGTCCCAGGTTCTGTCTCATGTCCGCCACAGGGAAGCAAGAATAAGATAAAAAAATATTGACTGTAAAATGTTGGATTGAAAAATATTACAAAAAAAAAGTGCTAACAAGTTATTGCTCGTCACTCTCCAGAGCTCAATTGAGGACAAAACAGAAATATGTGCATAGCAACTAAAGAATAAAGGAGAATATATACTACCAGTGAATCAGAGAATTTTTAAGTTTTATAAAAAGCTGTTGAGATTTTTCAACAAGTGTTATAACAAATACTGTGTTCTATAATGAACATTGAAGCGTTCCACAGCTGTTGCGACATATGTAGACACATTCCAACTAGTGTTATAATATACACTGAAGTTTTCCAATAAGTTTTATCATGAATGTTGAGGTGTTCTAACAGGTGTACTAATGAATATTCCAGTTTTCCAATAAGCATTATAACACATGTTAAAGTATTCTTACAAGTGTTATCATGGATGCTGATGTGTTCAAACAAGTGTTATAACAGATTTTGAAGTATTATAACAAGTATTTTAAGAGATGTTGAGGTTTAATAGTTGAATATAAATTTGTTACCTACCAACAGCATGGTTGGTGAAACCCCCAGCCAGAGGATTCGCCAGAAGAGACTCACTTCATGTCTTATCATATGCTTTATATTACCACAGAACTTCTTGACTCCATACACCCAGGCAATGGCTACACACATACTTATACCAATTATCATCACTGGAAAACCTGTGCACTCATCCATAAGTTGGAGTATATAAAGGCCACCCTGGGGGAGAAAAAAAAAGAAGGTGAAACAAAAAAAACATTAGTAATGCAATTATTGCTTAAACAAAAACATAAACATGATAATTATAAAAAAGGTATTTTTTAAGTGTATTCAAGGTATTCATATTAGCTTTATGAAAATTGATATAACCATTTTCATAGATTTGTTTATAATCTGGTTCACACTCCTTCCCGGTCTTTTGAACAGGAGTAGAGGGCTATCCCTTGTTTCTGGTTCTTTCTAAAGTCTTTTCATTCTCTCTCACTCCCAGTAGTTCTTTGCATCTTGGCAAAGTTGTTTCCATCTCTTTCTCTTCCTGCAGCCCTTTGTGTCTTAGTGGCATTCTCACCTTGCTTGGGTGAAATGATTTAAAAAATTATAGAAGTATTTTTTCTTTTTCTGAATCGATTCACCCCACGCAAAGCGATAACACCACTAAGACATAAGGGACTGCAGGAAGTGAAAGAGAAGGAAACAACTTTGAAGGAACTGGAAACCTAATAAAAGTATAAATTTAAGAGTTTAGGCGAAGATGTTAGAAGTATAGACTTCAAGGAGGATTTAGAAGGAACCGTAAACCCAATCCTAAGCAGGACCTCGGCATATGGATCAGTTATAACAAATTAGGTACAGGTGAAAAGAAAATTGGGTATAGAATAGGCTGTACTAGAAGTAGTTTTGTTCATCAGATCCAGACTTTCATATGGTGCCAAACCCATTCAGAAATATTTAAAATGTTAGCCTTATACAACTCTGCTTTCTTAGATCACTGGCTTTGAGTGAGTGAAGCTCATGGGTCTTAGCAAAGACCAACCTTCTTTCAACTTTTTGGACTGGCACTACATAATCAGGCACAAAAGAAATTGTAGCAAATAACAAACTACATTACTAGTAGCAGTAACAACAGCTAAAATAGATATCATATATAATTTACTGAGAAAATATTTACATAAGATGTTGACATTCCACACTACTTCAAACAAAAGGTTAGAAAGGAAACTCCCCATCAATACTGGAAAGAGTGATAACAGCTACTGGACTTGAGAAACCTGTTTTTCTAAAAAAAAGTCTTTTAAGAGAGAGATTTTATAAATTTCAACCGAAAGAAAAAATAATGACACAATCTAGATGTTGCCATTCCACACTACTTCAAACAAAAGGTTAGGAAAAAAACCTTCATCAATACTGGAAAGAGCAATAACAGCTACTGGACTTGAGAAACATGTTTTCCTAAAAAAGTGTTTTGAGAGAGAGATTTTATAAATTTCAAATGAAAGAGAAAATAATGACAATCAAAATGTTGACATTCCACACTACTTCATGCAAAAGGTTAGAAAGGAAACTCCTCATCAATACTGGAAAGAGCAATAACAGCTACCGAACTTTAGAAACCTATATTCCTGAAAAATTATTTCAAGAGAAAGATTTTACAAATTTCAGCTGAAAGTAGTACTGGCTGCTTGGTCAATGAATGCCAGATGTTTCCTTATAAGGAAACAGCTAATATTACTATTACCATTCAAATCATTTTTCATATAGATTTTATAAGTATTCATCTCATATGCAATTATACAGTGTCATATGAGAAACATATTGGATTGATCCATTCTATAGAAATGGCCAAACTTACATGAGTCATTGTCAATTATTAATTTCAAACTAGTATTTCTTGTGTCTTATTTCTCTTGCTTTTACACCTATTGATAATCATCTTAAGTTACTGAATTTCTTAAGTAAAGCAATGTCATTTATTATTCTTTTTTTGACTAGTTTTTTTTTTTTGTTAATTTTATTTTTTTTCTCAGTTTCACACCTTGTAGTAAGTTATCAAACTTTCTTAAAAGAAGCATTTTTCAAAAAATCATTTCATCCCAAGCAAGGCAGTAAAGCCACTAAGATACAAGAGGTTACTGAGTGTGGAATAAGAAAAAAGAGAAACATTATTAAGGAGCGAGAACAATAGAAGGGTAATCAGGAAGACAGTAGATAACGATTGACATTGCATTTAAATTTTTGAAGATCAAAGTTGGCTGGACAGCATGGAGCCAGAAGGAAGTTCCACAAGCAAGAAGTATGAGAAAAGAAACTGTTAGCATAGAACTTATGGTAACGGTTCTAGCGAAGCACAAACATCTTTATTTAGGTTGACTAAGAAACTATTTACATTATACATTTACCATTTATCCATGCATTCAATATTGCTGCCATATTTGGTCTGGTGCTGCTGCTATATATTTCGAGATTCTTAGTAAAATCCAAAGAAGGGTCTTTAATGTCATTGATCCTGACATGGTATTTTGACTTTAGTCAGTCTCCCAGTAAGTCGCTGTGATGTGCCTTCCCTCTGTCTTTTCAATATGGCAGTTGTTCTCATGATCTATTCTTGGTACACTGACCACATGAATTTAACCAGAAATTCTATTAGTTTCTTTTCTTGCACTTTTCATCTCTGGAGAATTCTTTTACAGTTTCTTGCTTCCCTGCCAACTATGATTTTCAAATATTTAAATACATCATTAATCACCATCTTCTGTCTTCCTGAAACCGGTTCTTTTATTGTCCTTTCTTCTCATTCTCTTCCACTCCCAGTAACACCTTTGTATCTTAGTGGCTTTATTGCCTTGCTTGGAGTGAAATAATTAAAAAAAAAATCATATTGATCACAAGCTAGAGAATTGGATGATTTTAGTTAAATGAGATTTACTAAATTCCACTAAGTTAAACCAATATTCAATCGTTGTTGGTTTCCATCTCCACTATTTACTTGTAGGTTCTAATTCAGGTTCTTAATTTCTTTTCTCATCAATCGCTGATGGATTTGATGCTTTTTCATATTTTTCTCTTCTGCTTTAGAGAATACCAAGCAGTATAAGGTTGGATGAGCAGGTGGTGTAGTAGAAAATGGCTTGGAATTGTTAATTGGAGAGCCATGTTCCAATTCCAGTCGGGTTCATTATATTCACTTATGCACAAATACCCTTGGAAATGTATAAATCCACCCCTTCTCCACAAGCTATGGGTTAATTAGTAAGACTTGTATCATATCACTAAATCAATATTGTCCCCCCCCTCTAAAAAAAACAGTCTTACAATCTAAAAATATTTTCTGGCTTTAAATAACCTGCAAAAGGTTGATAAGCCGTAGCAAATGAATAAATCAATCAATGAAATACTGATTAGCTACACAGGCATGTCTTTTAGATTTATTTACATTCTCTGGAATATACATGTATAGAAATATCATGGCTACAAAGTAAGGGATCAGTTTCCATATTGTTGTAATATAGAATTGATCCCCCACTTTATATCCACATTATAATTTCTTGTTCATCAAATTCAGATTATGTGTGAATCCACCTCTTCTCTCCCCCAATTATGGGTTAATTAGTAAGACTTATATCACTAAATCATGATTATTTCTAAAAAATCCTTAGAATCTAAAAATATTTCCCGTCTTTAAATAACCTGCAAAGGGTTGATAAGACATACAAAATGAATGATTGAATCAATCATCAACTTTAATTTATTTTAATGCTACAGGCCTCCTAAAGGGGGTTTTCATGCACAAAAAGTGATCTCACACAGTTCCAATAGCAAGCTCAAATTATCCCCCACCCACAAAATAATCAGTAAGTAAGAAACAATGATCTTCAACATATTCAGAGACACTTACCTCTGTGGTCATCGGTAAACCTAAGAAATAAAGGAGGACGCAAACAATGAAAAGGACAGTAACCCGCTTCTTTCGTAGAACTTCAATTTTTTCATCAATGATTGCGGTAACAACTGTCTCAACTATGGTGATCTCTGTGCTCAGGCCCATCATAACGAGCATGAGGAAAAAGAGAATCGCCCATACGGGGGCTGCAGGTAGATAGGTCAAAGCAGCAGGATAGGCTGTAAATGCCAAACCAACATCTAGGGAAGAAAAACAAAAATATATATTGAGTCTCACATGCACAGTTTGTCTGAAGGTATTCTGTAAATCACAAACTTCGATGACTCAAATTTTCTTTAAAATTTTTAATAATTAATTTATACATCAAAGTTGAGTTAAATTTTAATGTATTTTCAAAATGTTTTATTAACATTATTGGATTTATTATAAAAACTAAAGTACCAAATTATTATTCAGAAGCAGAAAATCATTTTACTTCAATAACAAGGTAATAAAATCATCAACACCTATAACAGAATGAATAACAAACATATATGATAAGTCTTTTAAACATTTACATCTTAATATAGTGACCCTTCTTCTCAATAACAGCCACTAATTTATTATCCATTGATTTTGTTAAATTATTTACATCAGCAGGTTCAATTTACAATAGAGTGGTTTTAATTGCTTCCCATCAGTCTACTTTCCTGTCATATTGTTTGCCAGGTTCATATAATTTCATCTTCACAACTGACCATAGATTTTCCAATCGGATTCAGATCAAAACATGATGATGGCCATTCCATTAGCTTCTCTTCTGTAAACTTTTTACCCTATTAAATTCATGGGTAACCTTAGATACATGAGAAAGGATTGTGAATACATACACATTTCATTTTGAAACTGTAAGACTTACATGTGTATCATTCAAAGAAACGTTCTCAAATCAACATACGAAAACCCAACAAAAATAACATCTACTAGACACACATACACACATGAATATACATTTTCATCTGATTCCTCCATACAGTCCATATGAAGTTATTATGTAAATCGCAGAAAGCTCAATATTTCAAATTTGCCTTGAAAAGTCTTTGTCAAATTCTTAATGATTAATTTATACATCAAAGCAAAGCTTGAGTTAAATTTTAACGTAGTTTCAACATGCTTTATTAACGTTATTGGTTTTATTAGTCCCAAATTATTATTCAGAAGCAGAAAATCATTTTACTTCAATAACAAGGTAATAAAATCATCAACAATTAATCAACATCTATAATAGTACAAATAACAAACATATACGATAAGTCTTTTAAATATTTACATCATAATATAGTGACTCTTCTAAATAACAGCCAGCAGTCTATTATACATTGATTTTCTTAAATCTTTTTACTTCAGTAGGTTCAATCTACAACATGGTGGATTTAATTGCATCCCATAGGCCTGTTTTGCTGTTATATTGTTTGCCACCTTCATATAATTTTATCTTCACCATAGATTTTCAATAGGATTCAGATCAGGACTTGATGGTGGTCATTCCATTATCTTCTCTTCCATAAACCTTTTATGCTCAATAAAATTCCCAGATAAACTTAGATACATGATAAGAAGAAGCATTGTCATGCATAAATAGACACTTCACTTTGAAACTGTAAAGCTGGGACTTGTATCATTCAGAAAAAGTCTTGTCTCTGAAATCACAATAATAATAACAACGGTTTAGTCAACAATTTCAGCCCATATCACAATGATGTCTCCTTTCACTGCTCCATTTTTACTTAGTAAACAGTGTGTATTACATCTATTGGGTCTATGCATTTGAGACTTCTATGTCCCTCTTTGTAGGGGAAACCCCCATTTGATCCAGCATGCTTTACTGCTCAGCCACAAGGAACATCACAGTAAGCAAGGCTCTATTTTCCCCTTTTTACTGTGATGATCTTTGTAGCCGAGTCGTAAAGCGTGCTGGATCAAATGGTGATTTCTCCTACAAAAGGGATTCAAGTTCAATCCTTGCCAGTGAAGACACGGACTTAATACACAGTTTAATAAATTAAAATTGCGCATCTATTTCAAATATGAAGTGTATGCTATAATATTAAATTGTTACATATATTCATTTGTTTTTTCTGATATTCTCTGAATGATCTCAAAGAATAATCTTCCATTTTTTTGCTTCTTAGTAACTCTGGTCATCCTTTGAAACTGTTGTCTAACATTATTGAAATCTTATTTCAGATTAGACATTGCTTTGATATGGAATGCCAAGTAGACAAGAATGAGCATGTTTGATATCTTTTTCTCTTTTTGTTTAGCTAAAGCCACAAAGCTGCTAAAGGTGCTTGAGACATTTGCACTGGGTACAGAGATGACTTTGTTACAGACAGAATGGCAAAGAAATGGTTTTCCTGTTTCAAGTAGGGGGAAGTTCTAACTAACAAACTATCTGCATTCTGAATGACCTGTTCAGTTTGAGGAGAACCAAATTACATGAACTGATTAAAGATTGCACCAGACCCCTATGGAATTGGGTCAGAACACAGTAAGCTCTCATGTTACTGTTGGTCATCATACTTAATGGGTAAGGTCTAGAAACATGACGCATGAAACACTGCACATGATGCTCATATTGACTGAGAGAAACAATCTCCAGTGCTCCTCCATTGCCGTCAGTTTACTTGCTTGACAAGGCAATACATGTGGCTACAAAGAAAGAGTTTGGTTTTCAAGTTCTGCTACACCCTCCATATTTTCCTGATTAAGTACCTTCAGATTACCACCTTTTTATTCTAGCAGGGGAATTTCTTTAACACGATTTTACAAGACTTCAGTATTGATTCTATAAAAACACCTACATGGTACAAAGGTCTATCTTAGTCTGTACATATCTATCTCAATCTGTAAATTTTTATCTTTCATTGTTTTTTTTAACATGAACCTTATAAGCATGACAAGGCTCAAATTAGACCAAAAATTCCGTTATATTTTTCTCACCATTAGTTTATTTTGTTTATTGAAAATAAATGTTAAACCTTATTTTGGGTCTTTTATTTTAATCTAAATATAACCCCTCATATCTGGACTTTGTAACCAATTCCTCATATCCGGAAGGCCTTCTTAGTCCAATTGTCAGGGATTCTAATTTATAACCCCTAATATCTGGGCTTTGTAGCCAATTCCTCGTATCCAGAAGGTCTTCTTAGTTCAATTGTCAGGGATTCTAATGTAAATAGTAAAATATTGTCAATAAATATAACAATCAGCCTGTAAACTTTCATTAACCAAAACATAAATCTTTTTATTCTTATAATAAAATAAATAATAGGTAAATATATATGCTGTACTTTTTACTTGAATATAGGACAATATTCAATGCAAAAGATAGTGTCAGATAATTTTAGCTGACCCTAATAAAAAAAATAAATATAAACTCAGTATGCAGATAAGTGTTGATATTCTTAAATCCAAAGCAGCCATTATTAAAAATACAGAAACCAGATAGGCTTGTGTTCAGTCCAATTTTCTTTTGTCATGAATTCCTGGCTCTTTGAAATTTGAATTTATTCTTACTACACAAACAGAATGACTACCAAACTGTAAACAGAACCTAAAATTTCCAATTCTCATTAGGATTATATTTTAAGCTTGAAATTTGGCTCAAACTTGAGAATTTGTTAAACATGACCAACCTCAGTTAAAATCACCAATAAAAAGAAAACTATTTTCTCACTGTGTCATGTCTTTACCCATACCAAAAAAAGCAAAAACTGACTCCTGGAAGCTGACTGTCAGACTAGCCACTTTTTTCACTCTTTAAAGTGATGTCACTAAATGGCCGTGACTTGACCCATGTGATTTCATCTCAAAGGGGAATAAACGCCTTTTATATCCCTACACAGTCTGTCTATATTTTTGAGATGAGGTATTGTAACTATTTATATTATTTGTCCTCATCTTTATTGTGATATTCACAATGTTTCAGCCATTGTACACTCTGGCCTTCTTCAGGTGATATATATTGGAATTTTGAACCAAACCCTTTATTTAGTCCACGGGGGTAATCTGTTCAACAGTCTGAACAATGTAGATAATGTAAATACCCTACACAGTGTATAGGTAATTGTGGATATTCTTAAATGCAAAGTAGCCATTATTAAAAATACAGAAACAGATATTAGGCTTGTATTCAGTCTAATTTTTGTTTAGTAATAAATGCCTGCTCTTTGCATTTTGACATTTGAATTTATTTTATAATTGTTTATATTCTTAAATCCAAAGCAGCCATTATTACATATACAGAAAACATATTTGTTCAGCCTGATTTTGATTTTATAATAAATCCCACCTGTTTTTATTTTGACATATGAATTTATCCTTACTGCAGTTCAAAAAATAATGAGGAATGGTTTTACTGCAGAATGACTACCAAACAGTAAACAGGACCTAAAATTTCCAACTCTCATTAGGATTATATTTTAAATTTATTCGTTGGACATTCAATTATTTCCTTCCTTTTGAAGGTGGGCATCACTGGCTGGTGCCTGAAACGTGCTTTACATCGTCTCCAGACCGCAGCTCAACAGGCATCATGTTGGATCTGGTCAAGATCCAAAATAAAGAAAATTAAAACCATGCTCACAACACAATGCTATTTCTGATGTAAAACATGTTTACCTTCTGCTGTATATCATACTTATTATAAAACTCAGGTTGTGTGTGTGTGTACGTTTATATATTGGATCGGATTTCCTATATTTTTCAACCGATTTCAACAAAACTTCACAGGACTATGTAAAATTACCTTGCGATAGTTCTGACAGCACCAAAAATTGAAAAAACAATTGTTTTTGCACAAAATCAATTTGAAAACACGATTAAGAGTCATCGCGTGAATGAAAGAGGGACAACTTATATCGAGTTATATACTTATTATAAAATGCAGGTTGTGTGTGTGTGTGTGTGTGTGTGTGTGTTAAAAATCGAATATAGGGGATCGAATTTATTACATTTTCAACCGATTTCAAGAAAACTTCACTTTTTTTTTTGGCAGTAGTGTTTCTATTGTCTTGCACACTTTTTCTTTATTTTACATTCAGAATGCTTTAAAATTCCATTTACAAGACAATTGTTTTATAATAAAATTCTATTCAATCGGTAGACTCTAACGATTGAAAACAATGTTTTCATTTGAGTTTGGGCTTGACCAATTCGTAAAAAAAAAAAAAACAAAAAAAATCTAATTATGACATGCGTGTCCGTCAACCTTAAACAATCTTTGTCAATTTTATTTTTCAGTCTTTATGATAGTCGATACTTGATCTATCTCTTACTGTTACATCACTGGGCAACGACGGCCTCTACTGCTAGTCATTAATAACGGTCACTAAGACTAAGGATCAAACATAAGGATTTTCTAAGCTTGACTAAACTGAGTTAAAATTACCCAATGTTAAAAAAAAATATATATATATAGTGTTCTGTATCTTTTCATGGAGTAGCGGGTGTTGTTATTTGAGAAAATATTTAAAATTCGGTGATCTAGTTTTACATTCTGTTTATTCTCCTTCCATGATTTAGTTTTAAAATTATTTTCGACTCAGCGTTAACTCAAAATTACTGTGTGAAAAGGATTGGAAAAATTTGATACCTGATGCAATGACATTTTCGACGCTGGTATTAAGTTCTTTTCCTAACACTCCCATGACTGCAAACACGGAAAAACCGGCTAAAACACTCATCAAGGAGTCCCCTAGACAAACAAACACAGCATCTCTGAAAAGAAAACAAATAAGAAAAATTATTATTATCTCCTCTGTGATGTTAAATATACAAGAGACAACTTAGAGAAAAATATTTTTTGTCTTAGATACTTGCATATACTTGTGTAGTGTGACCCCCGGAAGCTTTTGGCATGAATTTTAACCCTTCTAGAAAAGACAGTTTTATTTACAGCATATATATATTATATATATATATTCTCTTAGTAAAATTAATGGTTCCATGGAAGGAGAACAGGGAGGAGGCACACAAACAAAAGAAAAACTGCTATGAATCACTGCAATCTGACTGCATGGAAAAGGGGGTGGACATGTCATGTGCTACCTATAGAGGTCAAGTGCCATGGAATCCTTGGACATTCAATCATTTCTTTCCTTTTGAAGGTGGGCATCGCTGGCCGGTGCCTGAAGCGTGCTTTACATTGTCTCCAGACCGCAGCTCAACAGGCATCATGTTGGATCTGGTCAAGATCCAAAATAAACAAAAATTAATTAAAACCATGCTCACAACACAATGCCACTTCTGACGTAAAACATGTTTACCTTCCGCTGTATATCATTAATAACAGTCACTACGCTCATGTAGTGTTTTGTTTAATGATCAAAAGCAAACACTTGTATTGAACACAATGGTTGCATAAAAATCGCAGAGATTAATACATCTACAATGAAAAACAATACCCAGTCAGGTGGCAAATGCTGCTGGTGGCATCAGGGGTGACAGTACTGCCTTAACTATTGAAACTGTGTTACCTCCACTGCTTGGCAGCTCATGAGGGCAGTGTATTGCACATGTTTTCACATGTTGCCTGTAGAAAATACACACACACCCACACACACCCAGGTAGTTCTGTGTATGATGATAAACTAAATCTGGCAACAAGGCCTCTGATCATGAGATTGGAGGTTTTGAGGAGTGTGGAACCACCTTTTAAATATTGTTGTTCTTAGAGCCTTCCCAACAATAGCTCATAATGTTTCTTATTATGCTGACTCACAATGTCAGAGGAAGATGTTGGTAATATGACAGTAGAGGTTGAACCTTCCACCAAAAACCCATAATTGTTTTACTGTTTTACATATATCAGTTTAGTAGCAATCAGGCAAAATAATATCTAAAACTCTTTTACTCCTGTATTTTATTAAGTCAAGAGTTATCTCCTCTGCTTAATAATCAGAAAAGTGAACATTATTTAAATGCTTAAAACATCAGAATGTTTAGATATCTTCATCCGATTCTTAAAGCACAGAGTTGATTTTTCTATTTCAGCTGATGGTTTGAAGAAGATTGTAATTAAAAGATCATGACTAATAATTCAATCTCTACATTTTTTTAATTATTTTGCCCCAATCAAGGCAACAAAGC